GAAGGAAGGAAGGAGGGAGGGAAGGAGGGAAGGAAGGAAGGAAGGAAGGAAGGAAGGAAGGAAGGAAGGAAGGAAGGAAGGAACTTTAGATGTGTTGTGAGAATTCTAAAATTTTGGTTTCTTTAAAAACACAGAAATATTAGAAGAAAGTGTTGTTTTAATCTCAGGTGTGGGCTGTGGGGCTGATTCAGATTGTCAGCAGCAGCTGACTATGACTTCACTCATTCTAGCAGAGACAGTTTTGCCAGCTGCAAATAGTTTCTGTGATTGTGTGACATTTGGAATTCTGGGAAGTTTTCAGAGGGTATATTAATGCTATGGCCCCAAGAGGCAGGGTTAGTGGTTGGTAGTCATTCAGGGGGGTTGTTTGTAGTTTATTAGTAATTGTGCTCAAAGAAGAAAGAAATTAGATTCAGACATCTCTATCTCTCTCTCTCTCTCTCTCTCTCTCCCTCTCCCCCCCCCCAAGCCCTGTCCTTCTTTCCCTCCTATCTAGAGAGAGGGGATAAAACTTGGGGAGGATAAAAGGTGGGAAAAAGAAGAACCCACAAAGTAGCAAAGACTGGCTACAGTGATGTGTAAGTGTCTGTGTGAGTGAATGTCATGTGTGTACCTACAGAACCAGAAGAGGGTATCAGAACCTCTGGGGCTAGAGTTAAGAGTAGTTGTGAATTGACTTACTGGGAACCAAGTCCTCTGCAAGAACTGCCAGCAAGTGCTCTCAAACTACTAAGGCCTGAAAGATATTTCTTTTTGGTTTTTTTTTTGGTTTTGGTTGTATTTTTGTTGTTGTTGAGACAGGATCTCTTTATGTAGTCCTGGCTGTCCTAGAACTCATTATATAGAGCCCACTGGCTTTGAACTCACAAAAAATGCTACCATGCTGGCTCCATAGGTACATTTTAAAGATCACCTGCCTATCCTTTCTTCCTTAGGTCCTGCTGGCACTATGGGCAGCCAAACAAGGCCAATAGGTTTCAGTTCCTCTGATCCAACAATTACAAGTTCTAAGCCATGCAAACTGAATATACAGACTCAATATCTTTTCGGAATTCCTGGAACTGAGCTTCAAAACTATAAATATAAAAAGTATATTGCATACAGATAAAAACATGAAAGTTCTTTCTCCTTACCTCTTTGGATACCTTTATGTAATAAGCTCCAGCCATTCTTGTCTACCATGTCCACATCAGCTTTGTGACTAACCAGAGTGGTGGCAATACTCTCTAGACGCCGTGAAAGAGCCAGATCTAATGCAAGATCTCCATTATGATCTGTTTCATTAAGCTTCCCAGGTAGCTGCACAGAGAAATTGGAAATCAGCACTCCAGACAGTAGAAAATACAACCTCTGCTGATTTCTCCCAACTGACCAACTCCCCCTTTCAAACAAATCTCAATATGTAGACCAGGCTGGTCTCAAACTCACAGAAATGGGCTGTCTTCCAAAAAGGTGTATGTCATCACACCTCTTACACAAGTGCCAATTCTAATGCCATGACACTACTTACAGCCCAAATTCAATTTTATTCACAGACTGCTATTGGACCTCCTGAGAGCACTTGCTTTCAGCATCATACAAACAATAGTGATTGGTAAGCATATGTCAACAACATGGAAGGTGATTAAGGACCACAGTAAAAATGCAGACAGCACTGCCATGGGGAGCGAGGAGAGGATGGAGATGGGATGACAAACTAGCATACAGAATTTTATACCAAAGAGTTAAAGCTGGGCAAGTGGCACATGCCTTTAATCCCAGCACTCAGGAGGTAGAGCTAGGTAAAGTTTTGAGTTTGAGGCCAGCCTGGTTCATACAGTGAGTTCCAGGAAGTCCTGGAGAAACCCTGTCTTCTTTTTTTTTTTTTTGGTTTTTCGAGACAGGGTTTCTCTGTAATAACCCGGGCTGTCCTGGAACTCACTCTGTAGACCAGGCTGGCCTCGAACTTAGAAATCCGCCTGTCTCTGCCTCCCAAGTGCTGGGATTAAAGGCGTGCGTCACCACTGCCAGGCAGAAACACTGTCTTAAAAAACCAAAAATAAAAAAAAATAAGCGAGCAAAGATTTTCATGAAAGGAGGTTTAACAGAGGACTCTTTAGCAGTTTACTGTCTCCTTATACACTAACACCCCATGAAATGTGATGTCTAATTGCTACTTATGACTATAGTAAAAATTTTATACACTGATTTTAAGATCTCTCAGTTTATTTATTCCAGCCGTGTCTAGGTAGGGAAGTGTTTTTCTAATTAGTGATCAGATGCACACAGTAGGTCAAGATCTTCTAGGGATCTGGATCACTCCAAATACTTCCATCTGCATTCCTTTGAAGGTACTGTGTTATGCAAAATAACATCCCCCCACCCCATTATACAGATATTCATGCCCTAATTATCAAATAATATAAGCATGTCAGTTTATGTGGCAAAAACTGCACATGTATTTAAGGCAAAGTACCCTGAGCTAGGAAGAATCTTGGACCAGCCCACAGGGCCTTACCTTATAACAACAACAACAACAAAATTCATGCTTGAGTAAATCAGAACATAGAAGAGTAGGTCATTAAGAGGTAAAATTAGGACTTGATCTGTCACTGCTGGCTTTAAAGATGGGATCAATGCTCCTTTGAAGCTAAAGATTTTGAGGATACCTATAAGCTAAGAATAATACTCAGCTCACAAGAAAATAAAGGCCCTGGACCATTTGAGAATTCTGCCAACATCTTATGTGAGCAGGAAATGGATTCTTCTCCACAGCTCCATAAAAGACTCCAGCCCTAACAATTTGCTTTAGCCTTGTGGCTTCTGGCTTGGACCTCGAATAGGTAAAACTGTCAAATAATAACTGATGTAGTTTTGCTGTTGTTCTTCGAAACAGGGTTTCTCTGTATAGCGCTGGCTGTCCTGGAACTCACTCTGTAGACCAGGCTGGCCTTGAACTCAGAAATCTACCTGCCTCTGCCTCCCAAGTGCCGGGACTAAAGGCGTGCGCCACCACTGTCCATCTTGTTGTTGTTCTAAACCGTACTATTTTATGTGCATGAGTGTTTTGCCTACCTGTAGTGTGTAGACCACATGTGTGGCTGATGCCTGCAGAGGTCAGAAGAGGGTGTTGGAGTCCCTGAGAATGGAGTTACAATTGGTTGTGAGCTGCCATTTGGGTGTTGAGAACCAAACCTGTGTCTTCGGCAAAAGCCGGAGTACTCTCAACTAGCCCAGAATCTGTGTTGGTTTAGACTACTAAATTTATGGAAACTTGTTTTGGAAGTAAATAAAGACAAAGTTGGGGACCTGTAGTAAGGTACTACTGTGACAGCCATTTGGAAATGGGAATGTGGCTTTGGTTTGGACTAAGACTGGCAAATTCTGATGAGCAGAACAGAAAATGCCCAGAAGTATCCTGTAAATATTAGAAGTATCTTCATAGAATGCTCAGTGATAGTGCAGATAGAAGCAGGAAATATGGATAACATTAAAGTTTGGAGAGAGAGAAGAAAAAATGGAGATGCTTCTCTAATACCTGGGAATCCATTTCAATCAGATAGAGGAAGACCACATCTTCTCTCTCCACTTTGATAGCTTTATGTAATGGGTACTCTGTCTTGGATTTGATCATTTTATATAACAACTGAGCACTCAGGCTACTGAAGTCCTCCTTTCGCAAGTCATCCTAAGGATTAAAAACAATGCAAAGTGTTAATAACAACTGTCACTTATTAATAAGCACTTAACATGTGTCAGAAATTTAACACTTTCCAACTAATTCGACCTTTGCTTTCTTTGCAGATGAAGAAGATGAAGCCTACAGAAGATAGAGAGCTTACACAAGTCTGACAGTGAGAAGATGGCTAGTCAGGATCTGTATTTAAGAGGCACTGGCCACCACACACCACCCATCACAGCACTGCTGGGCCACGGAGAATGACAGCTAAATGTCAACTCTGACCTTCAACTGGAACCAAGCCATGTAGGAGCCCCACCATAAGTTCAGGTTCTTTCCCTACTAAGCCTACAACGATGGCAATTTCAAAACAAATCAGAACTGTGACAACAATTCACAGAGTCACAACTGTTCTCCACAACAGTCGTCCTATCAGGAAAAGAAAGCTACACTCTATGTCAGCTCTTTAAAGCTAGTTTTCAGCAGGTATAGCAGCACATGCCTTTAATCCCAACAATTAAGAGACTGAGGAAAGATGTTTGCCATAAGTTTAGGGTCAGTCTGAGATAGTGGGATTCAGGTCAGTCTGGGCTACAGAACAAGCCCTTATTTCAACACAACAAACAACAACCCCAATTTTCTGGTGGTATCAGAATTAAATTGAAGGCCTCACGCATGCTAGGCAAACACTGTACCACTGAGCTGCATTCACCGCCCTTTAAAATTTTCTGAGAAAGGATCTTGTTCAGTTCCTCAGGCTGGTCTTGAACTTGCTTTGCAGTTTAGGCAGACCATGGATTCAGCATCCTCTTGCCTTAGTCCCTGAAGTAATTGGGGTTACAGGCCCATGACACTACGCACACACAGGTCAGTTCTGTTAGAAATCTTTCCTTAGAATTTTAAGGTTCCTCCCATAAAAACTATATACAAAAATAATCATAGAAGCTAGTTCATAAAACATTGATTGCTTTATTTATCTATTTATTTAATGTAAAAACAGAACAAAAAAAACAAAACAAACTCAGTTTGTACATCCTGTGCTTGGGAGAAGACAGGAGAATCCCTGGGGCTTCACTGGCACGCCAATCTCATCTAATCAAGTGAAATCTAGACCAGTGAGAGATCCTGCCTCAAAATACGGTGGACAGTACTTGAGTAACCCCACCAGAGGTTGTTCTCTGGCCTCTATAGCCACATATGTGCACCTGTATACACATACTAAAATATAAAACAAACCATAAGAAAGAAATGTAAAACTTGTTATTTATGATGACAACCCAAGAAGTGAAGCAGTGGAGAAAACTCTTTGACGGACAGCTGAATGCTGGGTCACAGCTTCTCCAGGATAATGCTGAAGGAGGGTGCTCTTGATGGCTGTTCCTGAACCTTAGCCACCTCTGCCTGTTCCACTGTAGACCCTCAGAACACTTTCAGAATTGAAAATGCCTCACAGATCATGAAACAGCAAAGACTAGTTATCAGAGAGGTGACTGTGGAAGCAAAGCCTAAACTGGGACCTCCAACTGCAGTGTGAAGGCTTGTCCATACCACACAATCTCTTACTCACCCAGTGACTTGCAATAATTTCTGCACAATAGTTCATCAGTGTGCTGGCATTTAATTCCTCTGCAGTTTGATAGAAGCGAATACAGTTCCTAACATTCACCAGAGACATAACACCCTTCTCACATCTGTAAGAGATTATTCATTAATGATGAACAGTATTAGCGAGGCAAATAATAAATAAACCAAATAAATAAATAAACCAAAGACAATAATTGCTACACTAGCTATGTCTAGTAAAACTAAGGAGTAAGGCTGAGCACTGTACTTAATAAGGAAGTATGGCTAGACTGCTGTATTTTATTTATGTGTGTATTTTTACTTATTGAAATCAATTTTTATTATTTTACTAAACCTGGTCATACACATTTCATTTTTGAGATAGGGTGTCTCACTGTGTAGCCCAGGCTAGCAGTGAAGTCAGGTTCCTCTTGCCTAAGCCTGGCTTACACTGTGCTTTGAAGTACTTGTACTAGACAATATATTATATCACACTGTTTTGAGCAGATTGAAAATAACTTGCAAAAAAAAACTATGAAGCTTAAAACTTCAAGAGCTTCAAAAGTCATCACAAGAAACCCATTGATCACATGCACAGGCCATTTTTAAATCAAACACAAAACAGATTAGCTTCAGTTCTTTGGCACTGAATTGTATGGAATATGCCTGCAAATTCCAGATAACTCTATTATTGTTCTCAAAGTTCCAAATATGAGGGTCTATCTATGCTTAATAAATATCTCCTTAAAAGTCCTCTCAAATGGTAAATTTATAGGGCTGGAGAGATATAGCTATGAGGTTGAGAAGAGCACTGGCTGTTCTTCCAGAGGACCTAGATTCGGTTCACAGCAACCACATGGCAACTAACAACCATCTAACTCCAGTTCTAGGGGATCCAGTACTCTCTTCAGACCTTCATGGGTACTGCATATACAGTGCACAGATATACATGTAGCCAAAACACTTAGATAATAATAATAATGACGATGATTAAAATAAGTGAGTAAATTATACTTCAGTGACTAGAAAATAGGACAGTGGCAGAATGTTTGTCCAGGATATATTTGTATTTGGGTTCAATCCCTAGTAACACTAGGGGATGGGGAGGTGAAAGAGCAGGGGGTGTGTATGTGGACTTAACAGATAGCTCAGCAGCTAAGAATAATTGTTCTTGCAAAGGACCTATGTTTGGTTCCCAGCACATGTCATGTGGTTCACAGTTCACAGTTGTAAGGAATCTGATGTTCTCCTTTAGCTTCTCCAGGCACCAACCCCATACACATATATACACATAAATAAAAGTTTTACAAATAAACAACTACAATTAAGCATAGCTATATTTTAAAGAATATCCAAAATATTTATAAGATAGTGTAACAATCTGAGTCAGATCTAGTATGCAAGAGGCTGTGGATTCAATCCTCAGTAACACACACACACAAACACACACACACACCCCAGACCACAGCAAGCCAAGAGAAAATTAGGCACAATGTGTATCCCCACAAAGCCAGGCAATAAAACATGATGAATAACTAATAGACTAACAAGAGAATATCAACTACATCCCTGTAGCACAAAGTTGTCTCCACATCCTACCACAGAAGATAAAGAGATTATTCTATGATAGAATGCCTGGAAATCTTGTTGTGCCTTCCACAGCATAAGGCCTACTGAGAAAGGAGGCTGACATAGTCCTTCAAATCAGATTCAGCTTCAAGGGTAGCCACAGAGGCCCAGCAGTAGCCTAATCATAGGTCTTGGTACCTACCACTTCTTTTCTACAGCCTCAACAAAAGCTTTCTAATCACATAGCAGAAATTAGTGATGAGAGAAAATGAGTCTCTGTGTTTCTGTCTCAGTTACTGTGGCATGAGAATGGTACCTGATCTCAGAGATGTTGGGACTCTATGGGTTTCAAGATGAAGGAAAGTAGATGCAGTATGTTCATGTTTCCTATTTCTCACCCTACCCCTTAGAAAGCCCAACATTCCTTTCCTGAAGGAAAACAGACACTGCAAATCTTAACAGCTAATATTAACGAAGCTTAACACTACTGTAAATAACTGAGTAGCAAATAATTCTCAATCTCAGTAGATGAGCATTAGGTAATAGGAGTACAGAAGGACCGTAAGAGTTAGAGAGGTAGCGGCAGGGGGAGGGCAGTGAGAGAGACTACGGAGTGGAAGAGTGGAGACAGGGAAGAGAGAGGACACAGTGGGACACACCTGGAAAAGAGAAACCAAAATTTCAACCTTACAAATTAAGAGTAGGCCAGGAACAAGAAAACAGCCACTTTCCATCAATAGGAATAGGGATCTATTTTATCTGTCCTAGGTATAATGTCTTTAAGTGACACTGCTGACTTAGTGTAAAGAAGCACCTCTCCCAGGGCACTTTTAGGGCCTGTTGTGGTGCACATCTTCAATCCCAGCACATGATAGGCAGAAGTAGCCAAGCCAAGGCTACATGTGAGACCTTGTCTCAATTCCCCCTAAATTATTAATTCATACATTTATTATTATGAGAGAGTGTGTGTGAGTCTCTCTCTCTCTCTGTGTGTGTGTGTGTGTGTGTGTGTGTGTGTGTGTGTACACACGAAAGTGTGAAGGCCAGAGGACAACTTTCGGGTCAGTTCTCTTCTTCCAGAGTGAATTTTAGGGATCAGACTTGGGTTATCAAGTTTATACAGCAAGGATTTTCCTGCTGAGCAATCTCATCAACCCTCTCACAGCAGTTTTAAAAAGAAGTTAAAATGAATATGTAGACATTTTACTATAAGAAGTTTTGGGCACTGGTGATGCACCCCTTTGATCCTAGCACTCGAGAGGCAGAGACAATTAGATCTCTGTTGAGTTCAAGGCCAGCCTGGTCTACACAGAGAAATCCTGTCTCAAAACAAAACAAAAACAAAAACAAAAACAAAAGCAAAAGAAATGAAAACAAACAAGTTTCAGAGTAGGGACACATACCTCAAATCTCAATACTTGGGAGGCTGAGGCAAGGAGACTTCGAACAAGAGTTCAAAGAAAACCTGGGCTACGAAATGAATACCAAGTAGCACTGGCTATAATGTATATATGTAACACTAGTTCAAAAACTAAAACAGTATATTCTCAAACCTTAGTTTTCTATACCACTGAAGTCTCCAAGTACACTGCATACCACAACAAAGGGTAACAAAGTTATTGTGGCCTGTCCACAGCTATGAAGTTATGTGCTCCAGGAGAAAACTAGTTTCTAACAGATGAAACTTGCAGTGTCCAACATGATAGTCTTGCTATAACAGTGTCCTAGAAGCAGGTGGTCTACCACATAGGACTGCAAGGATTCCAGATCACATCTGCAGAGCACTTAGTTTAAACACTTGGACAGACAGTGGCCTCGACTCTGAAAATTCTAGTCTTCTTACTGCCAAGGGACTGGAGCACAGTTCATAACAACAGATGTTTTCTTAGAAATTACAAACAGGGCTGGAGAGATAGCTCAGCGGTTAAGAGCACTGACTGCTCTTCCAGAGGTCCTGAATTCAAATCCCAGCAACCACATGGTGGCTCACAACCATCTGTAATGAGATCTGATGCCCTCTTCTGGCGTGTCTGAAGACAGCTACAGTGTACTCATAAATAAAATAAATAAATAAATCTTTAAAAAAAAAAAAAGAAATTACAAACAGTTGATTTTCACTCATTTAGATCCCCTGAGTGCCATTTGTCAGGTGGAGAGACTATAACTAGTAACTAACATGATTTATAACAACAAAAGAATACATTTCTTTTCTTTTTTCTTTTTTTGAGACAGAGTTTTTCTCTGTGAAGTCCTGGTTGTCCAGGAACTCATTCTGTAGACAAAGCTGGCCATGACCTCACAGAGATCCACCTGCCTCTGCCTCCCAAGTTAGTGGGATTAATGGCATGTGCCAACACCACCTGGCAAGAATACATAATTTTATTAATTTCTCAGCTCAAAGTTTCTACTTGAAAAGTAGCAAGGCAGGCTAGTTTTCCTCTGGAGGAAAAATATTGTTAACAGTATATTTTTATAATTTGATATCCACAAAGCATACAAAAGCACAAAGCAATCTATCTTGCTGTTTTTGAAACAGAAGCTCGCCATGTATAACTCTGGTTGGCCTGGCATTCTCTTTGTAGACCAGACTACTCAAACTCAGAGATCCATCTTTCTCTACCTCCAAAGTGCTGGAATTAATGGCACATGCCACCATGCCCAGCAAAGATTTATTTATTCATTATTCTTATGTGCATGTCTGTCTATGTGAGTCCATGTGCTTGCAAAAGCCTCACAAGGCCAGGAAAGGGCATCTGAGCCCCAGAAAGTGGTTGTGAGCCCCTGGGAACCAAACCTGAGTCCTCTCCAAGAGCAACACAGGCTTTTAATCTCTGAACAATATTTCTAGCCCATACATCTGATTTTTAAAGTATAAATCAGGGACCCTACAAACTCCTGTCTGGTTTTCTTTCTTTTTTTGTTTTTTACTTTGTTTTGTTTGACAGGGTTTTTCTGTGTAGCCCTGGCTGTCCTAGAATTTACTCTGTAGACCAAGCTGACCTCGAACTCACAGGAGATCTGCCTTTCTTTGCCTCCCAAGTGCTGGGATTAAAGTTGTGTGCCATCATGCTCTTTTCAGATTGACCCATATATGTGGAATGTGATAACTATTGAGAGAAAGATACATAGATGAACAATGGTTGGGTTATAGGTGACCTACTTTTTCTTTATATAATTCTGTTTTCCAAATTGCATAAACTATACCCATATTAATAATCAATAAAAATATTGTCATTTTAATATATACCCTTTTTCAAAGAGAATTTTCTGATATTACAAAAAAACCCTTCTGTAGCTGGCCTTTGGCTACTAAGTGGTTTCTTCTTTCTTCTACCCTTTTCTACCCCTTTTCTTCTACCTTTCAATCCCTAAACACTAGATAAGCAAAAAAAAGATAGAGAGGAAAGAAAAGTGATCCTTGAATAAAGTCAGGGGTCATTAGACTACTTTCTTGCTGAATGGAGTCATTGAGTTCCTTAAGGCAAATTTGGTCTTTGCAGTTAGGATTTATTATTATTATTATTATTATTATTATTATTATTATTATTTCTCTTCTTCCTCTTCACCTTTGCTCAGAAATACTAAACTGCCACCAACATCAACCAACAACTACCAACAAAATCCAAACAATCCACACCACCTCTTGGGTCCCTAGCATATATATAATCTCTGAAAACTCCCCAGACCTGTAAATGTCACACAAACATAGAAACTATCTGTAGTTGGCTAAATCACACCCCTGCTAGAGCAGGAGGCAAATCACAGGCAGCTGCTGTGGACAGCTACTGAAGCACCCCATATCCCACACCTAGGATTGAAAAGAAAACATATTCCTATAATATTTCTGTATTTTTTAAAGAAACCAAAATTCCAAAATTGCCATTACACCCTTCTTTTTGATCAATTAATTATTAGTATTTCCAAGCCATCAGGACCTCTCTATCACAGAAATCAGTGCATTGACTTCACACAAAACAGCATGCTTTTGCCTGAGCCTGTTGACTTAACATCCTAGATGTGTCATTTCTCTGTCTGACAGCAGTGGGCACTCTGTGACCTCATTAAAAGCCAGCACTCACTCCAGTCCTGGTCTCTTCCATATCAGCTCTTGAGAAAAGCCATGAAAAACAATACCCACTACCAACAGAAAAATTTGAGCAGCTGGTAATGTTGATAGTCATGAGGCTTAAGCAATCAATAAAGGATAAACATTTTAATTAAAAGATCCATTATATAAATTACAATTACCTACACCAAATCCCAGAACATTTTATTAAAGCAATTTTATAAGCAAGTCTGACACAGTCAATGAGAAAGCTGAGGATATTTGGGGGAAAGATATAAACAATCTAATTAAAACTGATATGAATTTATATTTATGTAACTCAAAAACTCAATAAACAAACAATAACTAGAGGACTTCAATAATAAAGTTAGTTGTGTTAATTATCGAATCCTAATATTTTAGACCCGTCTATATTTAAATTAGATTTAGATATTAAAACAGTTCTCTCTGGTAGTTGGAAGGACTATCTATGGATCCCCGAGAGGCTCTAGGGTAATTCTAGTGAAAAACCCCCTCACAGTAAAAAAAAAAAAAAAGAGCAAGCAGCTCCTAGTAGCCAAGTCTCTCTTTGATCTTCTGGGTCAGGGCAAAAGAGCAACAACAGACTGAATGAGCAACACATGGTTGAAACCACCCAGGAGAGAGGCCACTTTTCCCCAAATACCCAAGAAAATAAAAGGAGATTATGAAGTACTGTAAAAAGACTATATGAACCACACTGGCCACCAAGAGCCACAGCCATAGCATGTGGACAGCATCCTGTTTGGCACCATCTGATAAGCATTTTGTCTCTTACTGTTCTAAAATGCCAACTTCAGAGAGGAACAGAGAAAATGAACCATAAAAACATACCATGCTAGCTCTTTGGGACCTAAAAAAGCAGCTAATTTCAAGGAAGTTAAGTCTTTACTGATACTGGCTACAAAACCTACTGAACCAAAAAGTACTGAATACTCTCTGGACTAATTTAAGCACTAAAGTGCTTCCAAAAAGGAATGTCTGACCAAAATGTAATATAATGAAAAGCAAAGCCAAGACTCTGGACACTGGATTCTATTCATCCATATCCAGTGGTTAATTTACACAACCACATATCTAAGGTAACAAACAGTAGAAGACAAAGAAAACAACAAACAGCACTGGCAAAATGTAGCTTACCAGTAACACAAAGCAACAGAGAAACCAGCCTCTCCAATATCACCTTTAAAGAGCCCCTAACAGTTATCACATGGCAGAAGCTGCTTTCCCAGAGCTTGGCACAAGAAAGCTTAGCCACCACCTTGCAGAGGCTTGAATACAACTGCTGTGACTTGCCTCTCCCTAAGGAGCTGGAGCTGAAAGCGATTGGCCAGTTTCATCAATTCAGTCAGGAACACATCATCCTCTCTGAACTCTAACTCATCCGTATAGATCCAGCGAAGCATTGTCATTGCCACCTCAGGATTCGAATCTAGTTAGAGAAAGAAAGTAGATGACACACTTAGGCCTTCTAGAAGTAACCCTAAAATCTGTGGTTAGAAAAGTAAATTATGGTACACCTAACTCAAGGAAATACTGTAAAAGGGCCCTACACCTGAGTATGCCTCCAGACCTTAGCACAACTAATGCTATGATGGAAGTGCCATTTAGGCCTTGGAACCTAGCATGTAGGCAGCAACACCTGCCAAAACAAAAATAAAGACTTATAGTTCTGGAAAGATCCCTAAATGTATTAACCTTGCTTTCTGGCTCCTGTAATTCTGCTTCTCGTAAACTGAAGTATGTCAACCCAGGATATGTTTTTTTTGTGTTTAAAGTTCCACCCTGAGAGGCTTGGAACTGCATTCAGATCACAAACACCCAGTGAAATTGTAGGCCAGCTAATCTTCTCTGGTAGATACCTCCTAACAATACAGCCATTAAAAATAGTGACAGTTGAAGCTGGAAAGATGGCTCAGGAGTTAAGAGCACTGGTTGATCTTCCAGAGGACCTGGTTTAATTCCCAGCAACCACATTGCAGCTCACACCTGTCTGTCTGACACACACATGCACAGGCAAAACACCAATGAGCATTTTTTAAAAAGGTGACAATCTGTCTGAATCTAGAAAAATGTTAAAAGTTTTGTATGAGGAAGTAATAGGGTCAAATTTGTTGGGAAAATACTTCAGACATAAGACAAATATCAATGAAATTTTTTGTTTTGTTTTGTTTTGTTTTTCAAGGCAGGGTTTCTCTGTATAGCCCTGGCTGTCTTGGAACTTACTCTGCCTCCTCCTCAGTGCGAGGATTAAAGGAGTGCATCACAATTGACTGGCTTATTTATTCATTTTTTGTCCCTTACTTGCAGTACTGGAGATTAGAAAGACTTTAGTTTATGTGTATGAGTGCTTTGCCTGCATGTGTGGCTGTGTACCAACTGCATTCCTGGTGCCCAAGGAGACCATAAAAGGATGTTGGATCCCCTGGAATTAAAGTTACAGATGGCCAATCCCATCATATGGTTACTGGGCGTCAACCCCAGATTCTCTAGAAGAGCAGTCAGAGCTTCACTGAGCTATCTTCTCTAGTCTGTAGCCAAGATTTTTAAAGATTTAAAGATTTACACAGGAATTACTCACATAAATTATTATCCTAAGCAAGCAATAGGGTAAATACAGGAAATATGCTATTTTAATAATGAACTGAGACAAAATGTTTCTCACTGTGTAGCCTGGGCAAGCCTGGGAACAGCAATATTCTTGCCTTAGCCACCCAAATGTGTGAGATTACAGGTATATGAGATTACACACTCTGTTTAAGAGTCCCACCAAAAGTTAATAAAAACATAATATAAACACACAGGAAAATCTGCAACAATTAAGACTGTACAGATATATGCATGACAATGTATTTACAGAAGTTTAAAAAACTAGGAATACATTTGGTATAATCTCATTTTTTGCTTTATGTATTTGAGAGTATAAATGTACCATTGTGTAAATGCATATATATCTAAATATACTATACATTCATGATGCTCTGTCTATTCATAAATCAATCAATCAATCAATCAATCAAAAACCTGGAAGGATACATATGAAAATATGAACTCAAGCATAATTCATGATTTTTCTTTTACTTTGACTTTTACTTAGTAAATATATTATTTGTTTATTTTTTAAAGACTATACAGCTACTTGAAGGAAATATTTATTATAAAAAAATCATAATTTAAAATATCTAAAACTAGTGCTAAGAATGTGGCTCAGCTAGTAATGATTGCCTAGCATGCAAGAAGCGTTGGAATGATCCCTAAATGAGATAAAACCAGGTGTAGTGGCACATAACTGTAATATAAGCAATTGAGAAGCAGAAGGAACAAGTTCAAGATTATCTCTGACTATATACTGTGAATTCTAAGCCAAGCTGGACTACGTGATCCTCTCTCAAAACACAAAACAAGCAAACAAACTAACCTATACTGTTATTTCTATTAAATCAGCTCTCAATCAGTCAGAATATAGAGAGTGATGCTCAAAAGACAAGTTAAAGCCACAGTTTGCATAAAGGTTCTCCAAGAGTAGTCCTGAGCAAGCAGACTCCTAACAGAGTTTAACTCTCAAGCCCACTCAGCCCAGTGAAGAAAACTGGGGATGGACCCAGCATCTGCACTTTAACAAGTCTGTTAAATTACTGTGATGATCACTGAGGTTTTTGGGAGACTATATTCAATTCTTAGTTATCAAGAAAAACTCCAATAAGGCCTAGGAATACATTATTAATAACTAGGCAACAACAGTTTGGCTCTGATTAGCCTTCTATTACAACTATGCACAGTGAGAAGGATGGGTTGAAGGGAGTGATGTTGAATAGAACTGAAAATCTGATGTACTCACAGCAGATTAGTTAACCACTGCCTGCTAAAACAACCAAACAGAGGTGGGGCAAAAATAAACAATGCTGTTTCTTTTTTCCTTTGTCTTCCTCAGTAATGTAGTAACAATAGTGAAAATTTTTCATTTTGCTTTCTTTTTGGTTGTTGAGACAAAGTTATGTCAAGGTAGACCCTGCTAGCCTGGCCTGGAGCTCATAACCCTCCTACCCCAGCCTCCTAAGTACTGGGATTACATAAATACGGCACCAACCCAGGTAAAATTACTATCCCAAGATTGCAATAAATAGTAATACTGAACTTTAAAGAATTGATAAACTAGCATAAAAGAAAAAAAGTGTATATGTGTATACACATACACACACACACATATACATATATATACACACACACATATTCATCCAGAAACACTGAACAATCAGCCTCCTTGACATAATGGTATTTAAAGAATTCTAGATCTGACTAGTCTTGGTGCATACACATAATCCCAGCACTCGGGACAGTGCTGAATTATATATTATACAATCTAGGCAGGAGGATGACAAGTTGAAGACCAGCCTAAACAATATATTAAGCTCCAAGCCATTCTGGGTAACACAGCAAGACTCCACCTCAAAATAAATACGATGGAGGTATCACTCAGTGGTGGAGTGCTTCCCTAGCATTTGAGAGGCCGAGTTTAATCCTCAGTATTGTAAATAAGCAAAGCACTACATCCAGCAGCTGCAGTATATTCTCTTTCCAAATGCACATAGTATATTCACTGAGACAGATATACACTGAGCCATTAAACAACAGTGTCTCATGTAGCCTAGCCCTAGCCAGAATATAACTGATAATGTACCAAAGTACATTTCATGAGTCTTACAACTGCTGGCATCAAAAATTTTGATAAATGAAATATAAAAAGATGTTGGCCTAGTCTTAGTATCTTTCAAACAAATAAGAGTAATTTTCAAATTTTTATTATCTTTTGTAGTCTTTATAAACTATATGCCTGTGGAGTTACTTCCATACAATTTGTGAAAAACACTTTCATAATCAAATGGCTCTTGGAAACTAGACTAATTTTATTTTATAGGGGTTAGAGATACGAAGTTTAAAAAGATCTCATTTTGAAAAGGAAGAGCCACAGCTCTGAGTGTGCTCCCACAGACTGGAGACTCACAGGAGAGACCTTCCTTCAACACAAGCACTTACATTTCACCTGAGTGGCATGCACCCACACATCTGCATTTATGCTTGCTTATTTGTGCTTACAAGAGAGAAGTAAAGGTTTCAAGTTAAACCTTAGAAATGATCATAAAGATAACCCACTCACTGTGGAGCGGTGGTGGTGCATCTCTTTAGTCCCAGCAGTTGGGAGACAGAGGCAAGTGGATCTTTGTGAGTTCAAGGCCAGCCTGATCTACACAATGAGTTCTAGGATAGCTAAGGCTTTGGTAGAAAAACCTTGTTGCAAAACCACAAAAAAAAACAAAATAATACAAAAGACAATTCACTCACAACAGAAAGATCTGTTCCCTTAAATCCAGGAGATTATACTTATTCTTGCTATACAACACTGCTTAAATGTTAGGCAGCCCTGGCTCCTTCTGTATTAGCCCAATTCAAAAGAGCGCACACACACATACAACAACTCTTTGTTGTACTTGTGGCCATTGCCTGGAATGATTTAACAGTCCATTACTTCTCCCAGCTACCAATGAGCTACACTCCAAGGCCAATGTCCCATTTTAATACCCTGACAGTCTCCATCTCATAATTCTTGCAACAGTTATTAATAGCAGAGTTCAATAAAAACTTTGTTTTGTACCTTATTTTCAAGAGTAGTTAAGCAAGTACTAATACCATAAAATTTTAGGTGAACGTCTGAAAACCATGTTTTAAGTCCATCCTAGCCGGGCAGTGGTGGCGCATGCCTTTAATCCCAGCACTTGGAAGGCAGAGGCAGGCGGATTTCTGAGTTCGAGTCCAGCCTGGTCTACAGAGTTAGTTCCAGGACAGCCAGGGCTACACAGAGAAACCCTGTCTCGAAAAACAAAAACAAAAACAAAAACAAAAACAAAAACAAAAACACAAAAAAATCCATTCTATTTACTTCCACATTTAGTTAAAAATTATTAGACACTGTAACATAAGACAACAATATAAATATAAATAATTTGGTGTTTCTATTAAAAACATTTCTTAACATTATATTTATTTACGTGTGCGTGTGCGTGTGTGTGCGTGTATACACATGCCATGATATGTATGTAGAAATTAGAGGACAAGTTGATGGGGTGAGTTTTTCCTTCTAACATGGAGACCAAATTCAGGTCATCAGGTTTGGTGGTAAATGCCTTTATTCACTGAGCCATCCCCTGGCCCTATTAAAATTCTTTAAAAAAAATTTACTACATATGTTTAAGATATATAACACATTATTAGGAGATACACATATAACTGGGCATGGTAGTACAAGCCTTTAATCCTAGGAGGCAGAACAGAGAGACTTTTGTGAGTTCCAGGCTAGCCTGGTCTACACAGTGAGCTGTTGTCTCAAATAAAGAGACAAATAAAATTTACTATATACAGTCGAGATGGAGAGATGTCAGCAATTAAGGGCATACACTACTCTTATACACTGTTGGTTCTCAGTACTCACACTGAAAGACCTACAACCACATGTTAATGCCAGCTGCAGGGAGATCTGTCTTCCTAAGTACCCAAGCACAACTGCCTTTACCAACACAGAAACACATACATACTAAAAATAAATCAGGCTAGAGATTTAGTCATCAGTAGTTAAGAACAAATATTGCCGCAGAGGACCCAAGTTAGGTTCCCAGAACCCATATCAAGTAGCTCCAGGAAAATCTGATGCCTCCAAAGGCACTCACTGTATTCTCATTCACAAACCTATATATAGACATAAACACACACACACACACACACAAATTTAAAAAATAAAAATTTTAAAGATGAAATAAACTCCTTTTTTTAAAGTTGCCATTGCAAGCTGGGCATAGTGGTGCACACCTTTAATTCCAGTGCTTAGGAGGCAGAAACAGGTAGGTCTGAGTTTGAGGTCAGCATGATCCACAGAGAGTTCCAGGACATGTGATGGGAGTGAAATTACCATGTTGAAACAAATTAACACTCACCACCCCACACAGGTACAAACCTACTAAAATTCTAAAACTGACTGAAAGAAGCCATCTAGGAAAGGCTATGGAAAACAAGTGAGTTTCCTGGAGATGGCCCACCATTTTGCATGGCTTTGATTGGTGCACTCTGGAGAGGCACAGCCCCAGAGACTTTGTCCTAGGATTGCGTTTCACTGCAGACATGCCTTTCCTGCTACTCATAGCCTAATGATTCCTGGGCATCAGCCTACCCTATTTCCTGCAGATCAACATGAAGATAACTTTCATGAATTAATGCTGTTTAGATGAATTAATGATTTTATAGCATTCCTGATTTGACTCAATTTTAAGGAGATGGTTTTAGTAGTTTTTCCAGAAAGATCTAATAAAGTTAGAATCTAGAATAGATTATGCCCTTCCTCATACAATTGTAAGTAAAGGCTGCATAATAAGAAATACAATGAACTTTCATAAATTACACTAAGGAGAAATAGGCTTGGGACAGATTTGTGATCAAGGAAAAACATTCATTCTAGGTCAGGGCCAAGGATGAAGCCACAGGTGTGCACTATGATAAAGCGAGACCATGTGAAACTGTTGCTTTGAACGTACAATGAGCTTATAGAATGAAACACTACTGTGAGCTTACTATTGACATCTTTCTATAACTCCCTTTTTGTGTAACATTTTATCTATGAGGTAATTTTATAAAAAATTTTGTCTAAGAAGGTATAAACTGCCAGAGAGAAGACATAAAGTGTGACTTTTGGAGCTCTGCTCCATCCACCAAATGTATGTAAATGTATATCACACACACACACACACACACACACACAAAAAAAAAAAATAAACACATAAGGAAAAATTTTAGAGAGAAATACTAAAGGTGGTAGTACATCTTTAATTCTAGTTTTCAAGAAGCAGAAGTGGGCATATTTGAGTTCCAGACCAGGCAATATTATATGATGTGTCCCTGTCTTCAATCAACCAATCAATACAAAGAATAACTGAAGAAGTTAGTTATGTGGCATCAACTTCTGGATTCCACACACATGCACATACACCTACAAGGACATGGACGTATACCACATGCAAAAAACAAAATAGGCTGCCTTGGTGAGATGACTCACAGGTAAAGACATTGCCACTGAAACCTAGCAACCAGAGTTCAAGCCCTACAACTAACTCCATAAAGCTGTTCTCTGACCTCCAAACATATGGGTACATGTAATAATAATAATAATAATAATAATAATAATAGAAATAGAGATAACATATATTTGCATATAAAGACCATACATGTGATATTTAGTAATATGAATTAATATCATTATAATATCTTTAAATAAATAAGCTAACTGAAAGATATATTTTCTAAATCCTAAGAACATAATAGAATATACTCAAATATGATTTGTTATCCAAGGATTAAATATAATCATAAAGGACAATCTGAGGTTGGAGAGATGGCTCAGTAGCAAAGAACACCAGAAAACTGGGGTTCAATCCCCAGCATCCACATGGTGGATCACAACTATCTGTAATTCTAGTCTCAAGGGATCTGACGCCCTCTTCTGAACTCCTTGGGCACAATGTACATATGGCACACAGATAGAAATGCATACAAAACACCATGCATAAATTAAAATTTTAAAATTAAAAGAAAAAAGAAGGACCAACTTAAAGAGACATCTTGTTTCAATTGCTTTTATCTGCCATCAATAGATAAGTACTTTACTTTTATTATACCACAAATATTTCAAAGTGATACATTATAACTTTGTGTTCAGACTCACCTGACAAATCTAGCTCCCCTGTGGAAGACAAGTTAGCCAGACTCCAGCTATCACTGCGGGCGGCTAAGACAAACTTGTGAGCATTGATGTGCCTGTCCCCAACCTTGATCTTCAAATCACTGAGGAAGAAAATATCCAAAGATACAGAAAGAAAAATGTCATTATAATTTGGTAAGTTGGGATTCTTACCTGACAAATACATGGATAATGATTATCAACATGAATCTGCAAAAGAAAAAATAAATCACAATGGCATTTCCACACTCTGAACCATACTTATATGTTGCTGGGAATATTTTAACTTCTACCTCAATTCCATGGGATAATCTACTGTCAATTACATCTAACAGGATTCTAGTGGCGAACCTACAAGCTAAGCAGGATACTTAGTAGTAATCATACATAGCATATCTTATGCAGTTTGTATCCACATAAGCCAGCAGAGTAAGAAATGTAGACAGTAAAAGCTCTAAAACTGTGGTATTGATTTGCTCCAAAACCGTGTCAAACAGTGGTAAACAGAGAGACTATGGACAATTTAATTCACAAAAAAAAAAAAAAAAAAAATGTCAAGAACACAAAACCTAGTGTCTGGTCTCCTGTCTCCATTAAAAACATTCAGCCCCATTATTAACCATTCTTATCCAGCCATTTATCAAGTAAAGAGGTTGAGACTGGGTGGCATATCATAAAATCTCAGTATGCTGGGATCACAAGTTTGAACTCAATCTGGGCTACATAGCAAGACACCGGCTCAAAAAAAAAAAGCAAACAAGAAAGAGAGGGAGAAATACACATATCATTATATAAAAAAAACTCCCCCGAAATGTGTTTACTCTGAAATGTCAAATGTTATGAAAAAAAAAAAAACATATGAGCAATTAACTGAAACATCATGATGGCCCACTGTGCTGACGGGATTGTGCCATATGGCTGGCCATATTCGAAACAAAGAAAGGTGCCAACATGTGGCACTTATTGAAACTGCAGCACTGGAGATGCAGTGGGAAGAACAAAAATTCAAGGTTATCCTTGACCAAGCCAAATTCAGGACCATCCTGGGCTACAGAAGATCTTCCCTCAAAAATAGGTAGGTAGGTAGGTAGGTAGATAGATAGATAGATAGATAGATAGATAGATAGATAGATAGATAGATAGAGTAGCACATGCCTTTAATTCCAATATTCAGGAAGGAAGATGAGGATCTCTAACTTCAAGTTCAGCCTGATCTACACAGCAGGTTGCAAGTTAGCAGGGGCTACATAATGAGACCTTATCTCAAACAAACAAATAAAATAAATGGCACCACTGGTAATCACTCCTCAGTATGTATCCACTATTCTAAGTTGTTTAAGATTAATTATCTATGACTTAATTTAATCTTCACTCTGACCCTAAAATGAGTAGGACTGATCATCTCTTGTTACAGATCAGGAACCTAACAAGCCATAGCTCAAGACCAAGAGCTAGTAAGTAGCTTCTAACAAAGACATTGCTAAATTGTTTTCATTGGTTTGGTGTTGGTTTGTGTGTATGAGGGCAAAGGTGAACATGGAAACAGTGTGCATGTGGAAGCCAGAGGACAACTTTGGTGCCATTCCTCAGTTGCCATCTACCTGTTACTGGGTCTCCCAATGGCCTGGAACACACTCACTTAGGCTAGGCTTGCTGGGCAGTGAGCCCCAGGGGACTGCCTGTCTCTGTCCTCCTAGCACTAGGATTTTAAGTGCCCAGATTTTTTTCACATGGGTTCTTGGGATCAAACTCAGGTTCTTGTGTACTTTACTGATGCTAGCCTAGCTCTTATTTTTTGATTTTTATGAAGTCAAAACTCAGTCTGATATAGCCTACACTGGACTAGACTTCACTGTGAAGCAAGGCTGACCTCAAACTCATGATAATCCTCCTCTCAGTCCTGAGATTACAACTCTGAGCTATTACATCTGGTTCACTATTAATAATTTTGATTAGAAATAAATTAATTTGGCAAGAAAATAAATGAGAAACCAGGCCTAGAAGTGTAGGCAGATTTAATTCTGTCTTCCCGAGAGGCTTGAACAGGAGAAATTACAAGTTCAATAGCAGCCTGGCCAAGGTAGTGAGACTGTCTCAGAACAGGGTGAAAAAAGAGTGGAGGACACAGCTCAGCAGTACAGCACTTGCCTAGCATAGGAAAAGTCCCTGTTTCAATCCTGAGGAGAACAAAGTAAGAGAGAACAAGGAGAAGACTCTGTGATACATTAGAAGTGGACAGGGATGAAGAAAACAGTACAGCTTCTGGTTCCAGGAGCTTACCTGTACTGTTCCTGCTCATAGAGACCTGCCACTATGGCCAGCAAGCGGCTGATGAATGACTCACTGCTATTCTCCTTGTTTGCTTGTGCAGCCAAAAGTGTGCATCTTTTCTCTGTTTCTGCCAGCTTCTTCTGCAGCTTGACATACTCTTGTCTTAGAAGCATCAAATGCTTCTCCAACTTGGCCACCTCCTCTGCAAGGGAAACAAAGAATGCTTATATGGCACAAGCAAGCAAATCACATTTACCATGCCCTAGCTATGTGGTCTACTGTTTGTGCATAATCTGAAAGAATCAAATATGACTTTTGGGCTGGTAAGATCACTCAGCAAATAAAAAGCACTTGCTGCCAAGCCTGAGGACTTGAACTCAATCTCTAGGACCCACAGGACAGAAGGAGAGAACTTACTCCTGTAAGTTGTCCTCTGACCTTCAGTACACACATTGTGACATGCATATGCCTACACACACACACACACACACACACACACAAACACACACAAAATAAATAATAAAAATTCAATAAAAAAAAAAGAGGCCCAGTGAGATGGCTTAATGGGTAAACACATTTGCTGCTGAGCCTGACAACTTGAGTTTGATCCCCAGGACCCACATGGTAGAACGAAAGAACCAACTCCCTTAGGTTGTCCTCTGACCTCTACTCTCACCTGTGGCATGGACTCATAAATGTATATGAACACATACTAACATACACACATAAATGTAAAAAGAGTAAATAAGCAAGATGCAAAACTAAACATTTTATGATTCTAATTTAATGTAAATATTCACATACATGCAGAATAAAAGGCAATCAACTAACAAATAGCAAGTATGGCTGAAAAGGAAATAATTTTTTCTTTGTATTCTGTTCATTACTTTATAACAAATACATCTTTTCATAATTAGAAAAGAATTTTAAAAGATATGTTTAAAAGCTAACATGATCTTCATACATATACACACAATATGTATATATGTGACCATTTTTTTCTCTTCTTCTAGAGGATCCATACTTAATAAATGCCTGACATAAAGAACTGGATACTCTCCCAGTCTCAGGTATAAATCAATACTCCCAGGAAAATAAACATGAAAAGCACTTATGACAACAGTAACATTTTTTCTAGTTCTATTTTTATTTGTCCCACAAATATTGAAATCAAACATTTGTCTTTATAAAACATGCATTCATTTGTACATGTATAAGTGATCTGCCTGCATGTATGTATGCTTGGTGCCCACAGAGGTCAGGAGGGCACCAGGTCACCTAGTACTGGAGATAAAGACAGATGTAAGCACTATATGGATGCTGGAAAGCAAGAGCTGCAAGTGCTCTTAACTGCTGAGCCATCTCTCCAGCCCCCAAACATTTTCTTTTCTTTTCCTGTTTTGGTTTTGATTTTTTTTTTTCTTCCAAGACAGGGTTTCTCTGTGTAGCCCTGGCTGTCCTGGAACTCACTCTGTAGACCAGGCTGGCCTTGAACTCAGAAATCTACCTGTCTCTGCCTCCCAAGTGCTGGGACTAAAGGCGTGCGCCACCACCGCCCGGCTTGTTTTGATTTTTTAAGACAGGTTTTCTCTGTGTACCCTGCCTGTTCTGGAACTTGGCTTCAAACTCAGAGATCCACCTGCTTCTGCCTGCTGAGTGCTGGAATTAAAGGTGTGTGTCAATACCACCTAGAGATGGAAACAATACTTACAATAAACCTGGTTTTGAAAACAAAACAAAACAAAAAATCAGCAAGTTGGACTTAAATTTACCCTAAGCATCTTAAGTTAGACTCAGATCACTGATTCTGAAGGGCTCTTCACAGTGACTCAACACTAAAGAGGCAAGAAAGGGCTATGAATCTCCACGGGTTAAATACTGAACAGAGAGAACTCAACACCAGCATGGGAAGTGCAGACTCTATGTCACAGAACAGGGAGGTACCACAGCACAACAGAAAGGAAAAACTTACCCTGAAATCTACTTTACAATTCACACAAGCAATTAAAACCAAATTTGCCTACAGAGATACTTCTTGTCAAGACACTGCAACAAGAATGCTAAAAACATCATATCCTGCTTACTTAGGGTCAGAATGTTTCTGACTTGGGTTTAGTCCTATGAATGCTCTTCTTAACCCTAACCCCCCAAAAATACTCCTTATAAAATCACCTTATAATTTCATTTACTAAAGACAATTCTTTAAAATAAATAAGTAAACAAGCTTATATATTCTTTCTTAAAATGTAACCTTTATTCATTTTTTAAAAGGGGGGAGGGGGCAGGCTTTCACCATATCACTGCCTGGCCTGAGTAAGATTCTGTATTTGGACCAAGCTGGCCTTTACTCCCAGAGTGCTAGTACTAAAGGTATATGCCACCTGACTATACTGGAATTCACTATGTAGACCAAGTTGGCCTCAAACTCACTGACATCCTCTTGCTTTGCCTCCCCAGTGATGAGGTTAATGGTATGCACCACTACACCTGGCCCCTCCACTTAAATTTTAAACATTGCTGAATCTTTAAATCTTGCTGCAAAGTGCATCCTTTAAGCATTGTAACTTAAAAAGCCACCAAACCAAAATTACTACCACTGTACAGATCCCTGAGTCCAACTCTCTTGAGAAACCTGCACTCATGTACTGGATATGTCTTTTCTTTCCAAAGCTCACCTGCCCCCACCTCAGCATTTGTCCTTAAATCTAAAGTATGTGCCACCTCTTATCTCTTAATTTAAAAGTTTTTCTTCACTCAGACTGACCCTGGAGTTCTTTTCTGTGGCAGTCAAGGATCTGGCTTTCCCTGATGGAGGTCCCTAAGCACAACATGTCTCCTTGCCTCTGCTGATTGGAGCCACTCAGAATACATCACTTATAATATTGCTCATTTAATAAAACCTATTATAGCTATAAGATAACTAATTTTCAGCAGTAGCTTCTTCTTTCTCTCCCTCTAATTTACCAAATTAAGCCCACAGATGTAAGTAATAAGATGTATATTTCATGAATGAATCTGAATACATGAATGATGTCAGCAACTTGTATTCAGTTCCCTCATGTCTCCCCATCTGCTCTTCACCAGCCCAGTCTGAGGCCAGGCATTTGGTGTTTTGTTTTGTTTAATTTTATTTGTTTAATGTATGAGTGATCTGCTGCATATATATCCACAGGTCAGAAGAGGGCATCAGATCCCTTATAGATGATTGTGAGCCACCATGTGGTTGCTGGCAATTGTACTCAGGACCTCTAGAAGAACAGCCAGTGCTCTTAATCACTGAGCCATCTCACCAGCACAAAGGTGTACTTTTTCTTTCCTTTCCTTTCCCTTTCCTTTTCTTTTCAAAAAAGATTTATTTATTCATTATGTACACATCAGTCTTCTACATGCATGCCCAAAGACCAGAAGAGGGCACTAGACCTCATTATACATGGTTGTGAGCCACCATGTGGTTGCTGGGAATTGAACTCAGGACCTCTAGAAGAGCAGTCAATGCTCTTAACCTCTGAGCCATCTCTCTAGTCCTTCTTCTTCTTTTTTTTTTTTTTTTAACAGCTGTACTTTCTAACAGTTTATCAGTCTTGCTTTAATCCAAGAGTTCAAGACCAAAAAGAGAAAAGAAAAGAAAAAACTAAAAGGAAAGAAAGAAAAGAAAAACAAACCGCATTCAGAGCCTGCAAAATAGCCCAGTGTGTAAAAAGAGCTTGTCCTACAAATCTGATGCCCTGAGCCTGGGACTCACAGTGAAAAATAGAATCAACTTGTAAAAGTTGTCCTCTGACCTCCACACATGCACAGGGGCACATGTGCACATACCTATAGAACGGAGTTAAAATAAAGATGCCGAGGTCTAGAGAGATAGCTCAGAGCGAGAGCATGTTTGTGCTGCTACTCTTGCAGAGGACAGGGCAAATGACTCTTCTCCAGTTGGCCTCCATCTTGACTACTCCATCTTGTCTTCCCTACTCTCCAGCAGAGCCCCCTTTAGTAACTGATTCCTCCATTACCTTCCTAATCTTAAAAGTTGGCTTCTAGGCACACTACTGGGTCACAATAATAAAATCACCCAATCAACGGCCTGACAGTTTATTTAAGCTCTCTGTAGAGTCAGACTTCGTATTAGCAACGTTATTTCCGGCTTCTTACCTCTGCCCTCTTCTTTTCTGGTTCTTTTTCTTACATAACCTCATTTCCTCATCTGATAACCTACTTTTAAAAGATTCAATTTTACAAAATTCAGACATATAACAAACTTTTTTCCTTAAGTGTGGTCTTCTGTTTGTGCACATTTTACTGTCACAACCATGTGTTTACACATGTTTTATTCAAGGTGAGCATCTAGGTCACCTGCTCACCCTCTGCTTCCCACTCGGGAAAACCTCCTCTGAGTTGTAACACTCCAGCTTTCTTAGTCCTTCTCTCCTAATGGAAGCATAGCCCATTGGTACTACAAGTCAGCCACAAAAAAAAAAAAAAAAATCCCAAATCAAACTTAACATCCTCCTCAAATCAACACCCCCTTTATATTTCCACCTTACGTATTTCCCAGACCTGGAAATGGAGTTATCATTTACAAACTATTCTCATCTATTCACAACAGTATAGCACTGTGGAACTGGGACGGACTTCAGTGGATATAGCATTTCATAACATACAAACTCTGTATTCCATCACCAGCACCCCATAAATGAATGTGATAGCACAGTTCTATCATCCTACCTCCTAGGATTACTTAAAAATTCAAGGCCACCATTTGTAGCATAACCTGCTACACACACACACACACACACACACACACGAACAATGTATAAATTATTTAGGGCTAGCAAAAATGTGCAATATGTACACACTGAAAACAATAAAACATTGATGACAGATATAAGCTGGAGAGATGGCTCAGAGGTTAAGAGCACTGTCTGCTCTTCCAGAGGTCCTGAGTTCAATTCCCAGCATCCACATGGTGTCTCATAACCATCTGTAATGGGATCTGATGCTCTCTTCTGGCCTGAAGGCATACATGCAGTTAGAATGCTGTATACATAATAAATTAATCCTTTAAAAACAAATTCCTTCAGGTTCTCTGTAGATCAGAATTCTAAGATTTAGATGAAAATGCAAAGAACTTATTAGACAAATTTTCTAAAAAAAAAAAAAAAAAAAGTAAAATATTTACAAGTCTCAATTTCTACATTTGTGCAAATG